CTGTCTTATAGGGTCACTTAGAGTCAGAATCCACCCAAAGGCAGTGAGTTTTCATTTTTGTTTCTTTTTTAGATAAATGGTAAATTCCTCTGCTGTGAACTTGCTACCCTTTCTTACCTGAAGTCTGGTTTTTCTCTCTTCCCAGGAGTAATAAAAGCATTTCCTGGTCAAGGATAAATTGATCTTCTCCCAGATTTCCTGGAGGTAGGTAATTTTTTGCTTATTTCAGTTATTTAGCACTTTTGTTTTCTCATCTTTGGATTCATAACTCTACTCAAATTAGATAGATGTCAAATCTCCCACTTTAATGATTACTTTTCATCAAAAATAAATCATTCTCTAAATTAACTTAAAATATAGAAACATCCACCACAGTTTCCACACATTTGACCAGATTTATAAAAAGTTCTACCATACATATTTTATTTCTTCATAGCCTTAGAACCATACAGATGTTTTGCTTTTTAATAAATTTATGTTCATCATGATCACCAATATATTGGCTACTCACTCACTGGGCCAATCAATCTCTGTTTGCATTCAACTTTCCATCATCATGAATTTGAAGCATGACTAATAAGGTTGAAATTAAAGAATAAAATGAGACAGTTAAATTCAGTGACATTTTGGTACCTGCTGAGAGATATGGTGCTGATAATCTAACGGTTGATTTTCAAATGTAAAGTTCACCGTAATTAGTGATTTATTATAGTTGGGAGACAAGGTAGAAACATTCCCAAAACAATCAAACTAGTACTTTTAAAGACTTTTTTTCTCCCATGCAAAGCTTCCTTAGAAAGACTAGATCATAAATAATATTAGAATATTTTAAACTCTATTTTTCAGAAAAAAAATGACTAGTGCATTAATGAATTGATTTTAACTTACGAGCTGCTTAATTTTTTTTCTCATAAGCTGAGGCTTCACACCTAGGATAAAATCAGGATAATAAAAATAAATATTGATGTACAGTAATAAATCAAAGAGCACAAAGTCTTGAGATTGAAAAATACCAGGGAACTGAAACTAAAAATATAGATTTTGTAAAAATACCAAATATAAGTTTAGAGGTTTTTTCTTTTCTTTTTCTTTTTCAGCACACAATCTTTCTATTCCTAAGAAAGGAAAGAAATACTTCTTTGGCATTTACAGTTATCTTTATGGAAAACAGGTATATATATCTTTTCTTTTTTTATGTCATATAAAGAGATTTCTGAGGTGTTTTGTTTTTTTTTTTTCTTTTAATATAGAGTAGCTCTTGATATCTCGCTGGGTTTAGTAATTTCCCATAAGTATACTAATATAGACAATAGCTTAAGTTTGTCCCTAGGAAATAGGTTGGCCAAAGTCAATTATTATGTTTGCCCTGTTGCATCAAGATCTAAGATACTGGGATTAGAGATGTGGAATGGGGCCTATAAAGAAAAGTTGTAGTTAATGCCCACATATTAGGACAATGGGGCAGTTGAGGTGAGTTGAAATGGAAAGTACCAAGAAACACTATAAACCAAACCAAACTCACTGCCATCAAGTTGACTCCAACTCATAGCGACCCCTCCTTGGGTTTCTGAGGCAGATGTCTATGGAAGTAGATCACCCAGCCTTCCTTCTGAGGAATGGCTGGTGGATTTGAACCATCAGCCTTCTGGTTAGCAGTCAAAAGCCTTAGACACTACACCACCAGAGCTCCCCTATAGGCATTGCTAAAAGTAGACAATATGAACCAAATGTTTAACATTTGGGTATTTCCATAAAAACAAGCTTGGAGTGCTGGGAATTCTAGTTGATACCTGGAAAAAAGTCCTTGTCTTTAAACTGCTCTTTTAGGATGTCCATCTGCTCCCATATGGTTGTTCTAGGTGTGCAGATAGCTTACAAATCTGTCATTATATAGACATTCATTCCTAAAAACATACTTTTTCTTGTTGTTCTAATTAGGGTTAAACATATGTGTAGTACAGAGAAGTATAATAAAAAGTAAAATGGTCTCAATCATTTATTCATGAAATATTGGCTGTCCCTTCACTGGAACCATCCTGAAGACTACTAACAAGAACAACATTTCTGGTGTCCAAATTCTGAGTTGAGTCAAAGTCAGGGTGGAGAGTGCGTGTGCAGTGGACAAAGCACACATAGTCTATTCTCTTGATGAGGCTGAAGACTAAAGGAGAAAACATAATAAACAAATAAATATGAAATTACAAATAGTATATTTAAAATAAAAAAAGTGCTGTTAGTCTTTTCTTTTTAATTTATAAAAGCTTTATAAAATAATATAGCCTTGACTTTTAATATCACACGAATATTAACTTCATAGTTGTCTTGTCAATTTATCTTCAAGTAACTCTACAAGAAATTGTATTTTCTCATTCCTTTTATAGCTAATTATTTTTTTAGAAATTTACTTTTTCTTTATTGTGTCTGAAAACATATTACCTTTTTTGTTTATCATTGAAAGTGCTTTGAATGTTAAATCTTTGAGTAGATCTTTGAATAGATCTAATTTTATATATTTTTAAAAAATCAGGGACATTTAAAGCTTTATATTTGTATGCTCAGACTTGTTTTTATTTATATTTTTAGTATTTTTTTTTAAATCATATATGTTGCATTTTAATATCTCTATTTTTAGAATGTAACCAGAAGAAAATGTATAATTCTTGCAGTATATTTCAATTTCTTTATCTGCCATATTAAGAATACTCTCCCTTACTGTTTTTATCTCTTTTTCATCTTTTTACTGGGAGAATTTTCAAGTTCCCAGCATTTGATGGTCACCACTTTCTATTTTAATTTTTAAAAACATTCAGAGATTATTTTAATTTTGCTATTGAATTTTGTGTTTCCTTGTGATTCTTCCTAACATATTCTTTTTTTTTGACACTATTTTTCTGACATCAGCCTGTTCTCCTTAAGGCTTGTTGGTTCAGTTTTATAGAGGCATCTTCTCACAGCCTGTGAAGGATAGCAAACATTTCTTCTTCTTGTCTCCCCCAGGAAACAGTATTCCCAGTTCTGCTCTATCTATATGTTTTATGATAAATTAGTTTTATCTTTTTTCTGTAATATCTTTTCAAAGCTTGTTTTTTTTTTTTTTTTCTCTCTTGATGGAGTAAATGGAAATCTCTCTCCAGATCCATGTTTGCCAATTAACAGCTTATTTTCATTATCTTCAATTTCACTAGATATCCTCCTGGCTGACCCTCTTTAGAGTCAAACCTGACTCTTAAAGACCCTACATGACAGAGTGGAATGGCCCCATCGGGAATCCAGGGTCGTAATCTTATGAAAGCAGGTTTTACATCTTTCTCCTGTGGAGTAATTGGTGTGTTTGAACTACCAACCTTTCAGTTAGCAGATGAATGCTTAATCAGTGTACCACCAGGGTGCCTTCATCCTGGTTATTCTTGAAGTCTGTTCTCTGAAAAACAAACAACTCAGTGTATATGCATATCTCCTTGAGTATGTGACTATATCTAAATAGTTTTCATATCATGAAAGTTTTGTTTAACTGAGAAATCTGTCTTCCACTGAACTATTGTGTGCAAGTGCACTGGCCATATTCTAATTGTTCATTTCTCTGTTTTCAGTCCCAGTTCAAATAAATGATGAGTTAGCCTCTTCTGTTGTCTCAAAACAGGAGCTCTCATGATGTAGTACCTATAGCATTTGACTGCTAACCAGAAGGATGAATGTTCAAACCCACCAGGCACTCCACGGAAGGAAGAGTGGGTAATCTACTTCCGTAAAGATTTACCACCTCAGAAATCCAAAGGGGTCACTATGAGTCAGAATCAACTTGATGACACTGAGTTCAGAGTTGTTTCTGGTTCGGTTGTCTCAAAAGAGTTCCAGTGGCATGGTGGGTTCATCATTTATTTGGTTGCTATCCAAAAAGTTGACACTTCAAATCAACACTTCTGTGGGAGAAAGATGAAGCAATCTACTTTTATAAAGATTAGAAATTCAATGGGGGTAGCTATGAGTTGGATTTGACTCAATAGCAGTGGGTTGGTAGTCTCAAAACCCACCTAGACAAAGTATTCAAATATGTGGTAATACTTGAAACTCATTGAATGACTACTACGTACCAATGCTATTCTAATTTGCTATCCATTACTACTTAGGCTAATCTTATGGTTGTTGATGTTTAGTGGTTGGATGCCATCAGTGGATTCATACTCGTATTATCCCTATATACAACAGAAGAAAATGATGCTTGGTCGCACATCATCCTCTAAATTGTTCTGTATTTGAGTCCATAATTGTAGCCACTGTGTCAATCTATATCCTTAAGGGTCTTTTCATTTTTTTTTTTTTTTTTTTTGCTGATCCTCTATTTTACCAAGAATGATTTTCTTCTAAAGAAAGAACCCTCAGAGAAAATGTTGAGGTAAAAAATAGAAATCAAGAGTGTCCAACAAAACTGGGAGGAGAGAACATTGGTTCAATGAGTATAAGAAGATAAGATATCCAAATCTGGAAAAGAAAGTGGGAAGAGAAAGCAAGCCCAAAAGATATTATTGTGTACAAAAAAGACCTTCTATAACAAGGAAATGAGAAACCATATAAAACAGAAATAGATGATCATCTTGGAACCCTGAGCACTGAAGGAAAGAATAAAGCCAATCAAGTACTGACTAGTAGAAGAAATTGGAAGAAAACACCAAATAAGATGACAAATGGAACTGTGGACTGTGAACTGGCCTGACAATGTGGCCAGTTTGAATTTTTTCAAGTAGTGTTCTGATCAGAGCAGCAATATGTAATTGCCTCCACTTTCTGAGAACTGCATAGGCATCCACATTGATCACTAGTGACCAGAAAAGTACAATGAAACTTGTTCCCCACACCCTCACAGAGACAGTAGGTGCAGTGGTCCCCTATCCTAACCCATCTTTTGGCCCTACAAGAATTCTGTCTTGGACCAGGTAAATGCAGCTGTCTTCTGGGCTGGTAGAAATGTCTGGACTATACACTAATGTTCAACTGCCTTTTAGGATGGCAAGAACTCCTTCAGAGACCCAATGCCCTGCATCTAGTCATCTTTCAGGATGGCAGGAACTTCTGGGACTGGAGCCTGACCCCTAGTTTCCTTTTGGGTCAGCAGCAACTCCTTCCACAACTTTTCACTTTGCTCCCAACCACTTTTTGGTGTAGCAGGAAGTTTTTTTGGATCCAACAATCCTGTGCCCAGATATATTCTGGGCCAACAGGAACTTCACTTGAGAAAAGTCACTCTGCCCCCAGCTGCCTTCTGGGAGGGCAAAAACTAGTAATGAGACATGGTTCATTGCTCTCAGCTGCCTTTCGGAACAGAAGGAAATTCTTCCAGGACCAGGAGCCCTGCCCTCAATTATGTTTAGGGCTTGTAAGAAGTCCGTCCAGAAATAGGTGCTAGGTTCCCCAGTGACGAGTCCATCAGCAGAAACACTGTCCAGGTACCCCATCCTCTCAATTTTTTCCTTTCTTTCTATTATTATTTTTTTTCCTCATTTATTTCTCCTTGTTCTTTTCTTTACCTTTACTATTTTTTTTTTCCTTTTATTTGTTTGCTTTTTGTTTTCTTCCTTTTCTCTTTTCATCTTCCATCCCTTGCTATTTTTTCACTTTAGTTTTCTATTGTCTTGCTCTTGCTCTTTTCTCTTTTTTTCCCTCACTTCAGATATTTTCTTTTGTTCTTTCCTCTTTGTTCTCTTATTTGTTTTTCTCGTTTTTGATGTTTTAATTTTTTTGTTTGTTTGTTTGTTTTTCTTTTGCATAGTCAAAAACACATACAATCATCTTTCAGGTATTCTTTACTTTCGTCCTAGATCCATCTCAATAATATTCATCAACAATAATATCCCACATTCCACGTCCTCTTCTGAATCCAGTTTGAATTTCTGGAACTTCCCTGTCAATATACAGCTGCACCTATTTTTGAATTAACTTCAGTAAAATTTATTTGCGTATGATATTAATTATATTGTTCAATGATTTTCACATTCTGTTGTATCACCTTCTTTGGAATAGGCAAAATATTGGTCTCTTCCTCTCTTTAGCCAGATAGTTGTCTTGAAAAATTTTAGGCATATATGAGTAAGAGACCAGCACTGTATCCCTTTATTGAAACTTCTTGGTGGGTATTCCATCAATTCCAGCAGCCTAACTTTTTGCCAATTCCTTCAGTGATACTTGGACTTCTTCCTTCAATACCACTGGTTCTTGATCATATAACACCTCCTGGAATTGTTGAAAATCAACTAATAATTTTGGTTACAATTACTGTGTATTTTTTCCATCTTCTTTTGATGCTTCCTACATCATTCAATATTTTGCCCATAGAATTCTTCAGTATTGCAATTCAAGGTTTGAATCTTTCAGCTTGAGAAATTCTGAACATGCTCTTCCCTTTTGGTTTTCTAACTCCAGGCCTTTGCATATTTCATCATAATACTTTCTTTGTCTTCTCGTACCACCCCTTGAAATCTGCTCAGCTCTTTTATCATTATTTCATTCACTATAGTTATTCTCTCTTTAAGAGCAAGTTTCAGAGTCTCCTCTAACATCCATTTTGGCTCATCATCAAGTTAATGTCCCAAAAGTTCTACTCATTAAGATCATCTCCACTTTGTGGAGGCAGCTCTTCACAGATCTTATTTTGAGTGCCTTCCAAATTGAAAGGATAACCTTCTGGCTCTATATCAGATAATGTTTCACTGATATTCATAAAGTTGTCCAGTCATATATAAGACAATGTTTCACTGTTGTTGCTAAAGTTTTCTGTGGCCATTTTTCCCCCCACTAGATTGGATGGCACTGCTGTCCTTCTTATAGTATGTTTTAGCCTGGAAGCTCTGCTAAAACTTGTCCACCATGTGGGTGACCCTGCTTGTATTTGATATACCAGTGGCATGGCTTCCAAAATGGGTTCACAAAAACACATGGGCCATAACAGTATGATGAATTGACAGAGGAGTGATGTCACATTCGTATGTATGCAAAAGCTGGACAATGAATGGGGAAGATTGAAGAAAAAACTGATGTATTTGAATTGTGGTGTTGGCAAAGAATACTGAAAATTCCATGAAAAAGAAAAATTATAAGTCTATCTTGAAAGAACTACAGCCAAAATTCTCCTTAGAAGTGAGATTATCCAGGCTTCATCTCTCTGACTTTGATCATATTATGAGAAGGGATCAGTCACCAGAGAAGGATATTATACTTAGTAAAGTAGGGAATCGGCAAAAAATGGGAAGTCCTTCAATGAGATGGATTGATACAGAGACTGCTGCAACAGGCTCAAGCACAGCAAGGATTGTAAGGAAAGTGTAGGACTGAGTAGTGTTTTGTTTTGTTGCACAAAGAGTTGCTATGAGTTGGAGCTGACTTGATGGCACCTAACAAGTGCAATAACAACACATACGATTTAATCTTATTATAACATGCCCATAGGGTAAAATTTCCCCATAGTGACAAATAGGCATATATAGAAAATGTGCACATATTTCCAGGTCCTGTGGTTACATAGAGTGATCTTGCAGGACAGGGGATTCATTGGCTTATGATTTAGGAGACATGAATTCTTATTACTGCCAACTATTCAATATTTTGAGCTATTTTTATTTCCTATAAAATCATATAGAGACTAATCTTATGGAGAGGTGAAGAAGTGATTTGAGGTAAAAGGTTTTAAAGCAGATTTTTAAATGTAAATGGGAGTATACTGTATCAGTGTATTTTGTTACCCAGCCTTTTCAGAATCACCAAAATAGCAATCAGGGGAAAAAAAAAAAAGAAGGGAAAGGTAGGAATTTCAGTAAGACAGTTTAATAGGGAGTGTGTGCACCTGATTTGTCTATTTTAATATAAGTATTAAACTAACATTTTTAATACTAGTTTTCCTGTGAGAATCAACCTTACAAAGAAAAGGATTATCATATACCCAGATTCTGTTGTCAATATAAAAATAATATGCAAACAAACTTAATTTATTCCAAAAATTGACCCAGAACAATGTTTCCTGATTCTTGGGTTCCTGAGATGACTGATTTGGCCCTTATCCTATTGTACCCTGGTAGAAGACTTTCTTGTCCAGTCACAGTTGTGTGAAGCCAGCACATATCAAAGCAAATTATGATGGATACATATTAACAATATTATGATATTTAGTGTCCAATGGCTCATTAAGACATAAGGTGACTCTAATAAGGTTTAAGAGCCAGAATTGAATAATAGGATATTTGTATATTAATTCAACAAATACTTATTGAGATAATATATTTGTTAATTCAATATTTACTGAGTTTGCAACAAATGCTGTAAAATTTGCTTGTTGCTAGGAAAAGAACAGTGAAATGAATATAGCATGTCACCTACCCTCAGAAAACTTAAAATCTAGTGAAGAATAAAAACAAGGGGACTAAGCTGAGAAAGGAGCTGAAAGAAGATTCTCACTAATGTCACATTACTGATTTTCCATGGTCTAGTTCATATTCTCATTTGCAGGAGGAAATCAAAGACAGAAGTTGTCATAAGATGTTCATTTGCATCTTAGTCCATCAAATGCCCTTCACGTCATTTGCTTCTCTTCTCACAACATTTGATTGCACCACACTTTCCTTATGGCATTTTTCATCTCCATGTTTCTAAGTGTGTAGATAAGAGGGTTGAGCATGGGGACAATAATTGTGTAAAAAAGTGTAAACACTTTGTCTTCTGGTAAAGTTGTTGCAGGTCTAATGTAAATAAAGATGACAGGTACAAAAAACAGAATCACAACTGTGATGTGGGAACTGCAAGTGGAAAGTGCTTTGCGACGGCTCTCTACAGAGTATGCTCTCAAAGTATACATTATCATAATGTAAGAGGCCATCAAAACTACGAAGATCACCAATCCCATCATACCAGAATTAGCAATGACTAAGAAACCAATTTTGTCTGTGTTAGTGCAGGCCAGTTTCAACAAAGGATAGACATCACAGAAATAGTGATCTATTTCATTGGGGCCACAGAATGGTAAAAAAATTGCAAGAAGAGATAGGCCTAGGGAATGCACAAGGCCCCCCGCACACGACGCTATGAGAATTGTGTTGCATCTGTGCCTGTTCATGATGATGGCGTAGTGCAGTGGTTTGCAGATGGCAATGTACCGGTCGTAGGCCATTCCTGTGAGGATGAAGACCTCAATACCTCCAAAGAAGTGTGTGGTAAAAAGTTGTGTCATGCAATTGTTATAAGAAACTGTCTTTCTTTCCATCAGTAAATCGGACATTAGTTTGGGTGTCACCGTGGAGGTGTAGAAAAGGTCTGAGAGAGCAAGGTAACTAAGGAAGAAGTACATGGGTTGGTTACTTAGCTGGCTGCATGTGATAGAAATCATGATAACCAAGTTTCCCAAGCATATAGCAATGTAACATAGGAAGAAAAATAAAAAGCAGAGCATCCGGATTTTCTTGTTCTGAGAAAGTCCCAGAAGAATAAACTCAGTAACATTATTCTTAATTTCCATGTTTTGATGCAATTATGAATAACTGTAGATTGTTACCTGAAATGACAAAATTAATGAGAATAAAATGAATGAGAAAAAGAAACCTATTACCTAATTGAAATGGCACAAGTTCATTTTTTAGTTCCAAGCTATCTTAAAGATAATCAAAATAACTTATTCATTCAACAGAATTATTTTGGATACCTAGTGACACTACTGTTTTAAGAAATGAGCAGACACTGATGGGTTAGTCTTAATGTATGATTTTTGTAATTCGAATTTTTTGTGAGAAAACAAAATTTTTCTGATCAAGAATAAATTAAGAAGATAACTCCTAGTAGTTTTAAGTACGGAGATCATTTAATGTATCAGCTGGTAAATTTTGAGAATGAAATGGAGCGCTACTAATAATCACACAGTGATTGTAGGCACTTCCAAGGGAGAACCAAGATGAGCTTCACAGAAATGATGAGTGTCCTAAACACTGTGATTTTCATGGAAAACTTCTTTGTGCCCCTCTTAAGAATATACTTTATAATCAGCTTTAAATGCCTCTGAAATAAATTAATAATCTCTGAAGAGTTACTTGAGTACAAAATATTGCCATTACCCAACTACATAGGTATTTGTAAGACAACTCCTTTCTATAATACCAGAATCTTGAATGTTAACTTCTGTGAAAAAATAAAAACAAACATCACTATATATTCACTCAGAAAGTATTGCATATTTAAAAATGTATGAACTATTACATGCTCACTCAGTTCCTCTCATTAAATAGGTATTACTTTCCCCATTTTCAGATGAGGAAAGTGAAACAATGAGTGATAAAGTAATGAACACAAGCTTATAACTCTAGAAAACAGCCAATAGTGTTGTCAAGTAAGCTCCAGCTCAGTGATCTCATGCCCATCAGAATGAAGTATACCCTGGTCCTGTACCTTCCTCACAATTGCTGCTATACTTAGTCTCTGTGCCAGTTCATCTCATTAGAGATCTTTTTTGTTGACCTTCTACCTTACCAACCATGATAACCTTCTCCAGGGACTGGTCCCTCCTGATAACATGTCCAAACTACATGAGACAAAGTCTCCCCATCCTCACTTCTAAGGAGCAATCTGGCTGTACTTCTTCCAAAACAAATTCCTTGGTTCTTTGGCAGTCCATGGTATATTTAATACTCTTCACCAATACCAGAATAGAAGTGCACTAATTCATCTTCTGTCTTCCTTATTCATTATTCAGCTTTCTCATATTATGAGGCATTGGAAAACACCATGCTTGTGCCAAGTGCACCTTATTCCTCAAGGTGACATCTTTGCTTTTTACCACTTGAAAACATTAATGATATAACACCAATTGAGATACTTCAACAGAGGATGCAATACTGGAAGCACTAACTCATCCATGCCAAGAAATTTGGAAGACAGCTACCAAATGGAAGAGATACATATCTCTGTACATTCCAATGAAAGGTAATCTAATGGAATGTGGAAATTACTGAACAATCATAAGCAGCCAATGCTAGTTTTGAATCCATGGAGACTAGGTGTTGGCTTACAGTTTAAAACACTGTGCTATTACTTGTTGGAAACAGGAAACTGCTCGAGGTCCTTTACTTAATTTATTGTAGACCTATTGAGGAAGCAAATACTGAGTAAGTATTTATAGCATTCATGCTCTGTATCAAACCAGAAGAAATAATTTTACGTAAAGTAAAGGATTTGAGCTGTTGAATACAAGCATAAGTCATATAGACAGAGAGAAGGGTAAACTACTTTTAAGGTCACAGGGAAAATAATTCAAAAAAAGAACATCAGCATAATATAGTGTTATACTATCCAAGGTTAGAGCCTTCTTTATATTGACAATCTAGGTCACCAGCTAGCCAGCCCTATATCTTCCCAGATGTTCTAGCAGGCATATCCCATACATTTACATGCAAAATCAGTTAGTCCTTGTGTATAGAGGCATGACCGACATGAAGTAGAGGACCCTTATGCCTACTTTCTAGACTTATCTGACTTACAGTTCTTTCATTAATATAATTGCATAATTGACAATCAATGGAATTTGTAGAAACTCTAAAGTATACAAAAGAATGATGAAAGAGAAGAAAAATGACCATGGATGAAAGAAAAACTAATAAAAAATCTTTACAACTTCCTTAAAAATAAGTCAAGAAGGTATTGTCAAGCAGAGTCCTTTGTCCCCTCCACACATGTGTCAATGCAGAGGAATTTTCAAGTGAGCCACAATGCTGGATTCTCTCTAACCCTCTCTATATTGCTCTGGGGGAGTTGGGAGTATTGACTGACTACTTTTGGAGAAAGATCTGCACATGTGCAGCTCATCTTTTTCTCTCAACACTCGTTCAGTCTCTGGTGGTGTAAAGTGAAGGTAACCGTAGGACTTATCTGATTGGGTTGGTCCTAATGAGATTGCAAAACGAAAAGTCATTTAAACAGTACTTGGCACATAAAAAATAAATAAATAAAAGCAATTGTCATTGAGTTTTTTCTGACTCATAGCAACCCATATATGTCATAGTAGAATTTTTCTCTATAGTTTTTCAAAGGCTCATTTTTTTGGAAGTAGATCACCAGGAGCCTCTGGTTGAAATTGAACCATGAACCTTTCACCAACCTTTTGGATAACAGTATGCACAGTAAACATTTTCACCACCTTGGAACTCTGTTTGTCCCATAGTTAATGTTAAATCAATCTTATCTAAGGAAAGAAGTGTTAATTCAACAAAAATTTACTACAATTTTGAAGA